TGGGGGCCCTGCTGGCCCAGAGGACAGGACCAACAGGAGCACAACCCTGCCGCTGCCTGGGGAGGGGAAGGACAAGAAGCTACTCAAGAGTGGTGGTGCAGACGCCTTCACCAGCTTCCCCACCCAGGGGAAGTTTCCAGAATCCAGTAACCCTAGTGACCTTACAGTGGCCTCCAGGGGCTTGACGGACTTGGAGATCGGCATGTATGCCCTACTCTGCGTCTTCTGCCTGGCCATCCTGGTCTTCCTGATCAACTGCGTGGCGTTTGCCTGGAAGTACAGACACAAAAGGCTTGCGGTGAGCGAGCAGGGCAACATCCCCCACTCCCACGACTGGGTCTGGCTTGGGAACGAGGTGGAGCTTTTGGAGAACCCAGTGGACATCACGCTCCCCTCGGAGGAGTGCACGACCATGATAGACAGGGGGCTGCAGTTCGAGGAGAGGAACTTCCTGCTGAACGGAGGTTCCCAGAAGCCCTTCCACAGTCAGCTGCTCAGACCTTCTGACTATGTCTATGAGAAAGAGATGAAAAACGAACCTGTAAACTCTTCTGGCCCGAAGAGGAAGAGGGTCAAGTTTACTTCCTACACCACCATCCTCCCTGAGGATGGGGGCCCGTACACCAACTCCATCCTGTTTGACAGTGATGACAACATCAAGTGGGTCTGCCAGGACATGGGGCTGGGGGACTCACAGGACTTCAGAGACTATATGGAAAGACTGCAGGACCAGATGTAAACTCCTTTCTTATGTTGTATTCACCTTTATGCCTTCTGTTTTCTGAATGGTGGAGCAGTGAGTCTGATCAGCAATAGGGTGACTTCACAAAGCTGAGTTCGTGGAGGTCTGGAGGGGGCCCTTTCTAAGCATGTTTCAGAGGCCTGGAGAGTTACGTCAGCTGGGTTTTAAGCTGGGAAATGCCTCTAAAACAGCTACATGTAGGGACTGGAGAAATTCTAAGACAACAGTTTTGCCTATAGCCTGGTACCAGCTCAGTGCAGGTAGAGTAAACCCGACCTCACAGACATTGTTAGTCATCTCATGGCGAATGGCTGTGTGTAGTGAGGAGAGATTTGGATGGTGATTTTCCTGTTCCTAGACCTTTTAAAGCACAGTGGGCAGGTACAGCCCGTGGCCTGGGTTTGGACACACATGAGAGGTGACTGAATGTAGCTATCCTTATTTGTTAGGAGTGCTGCTCAGTATTTTTATATACATTTCCACCTGCACCTGTTCCTTTGACCTCTGGAATTTTTTTTGAAACATGAAGAGAAGAAATTTCAGTCTTTGAGATCTGTGTGATTTACAAATTGAGTTTTATTCCCTGGGATTTGCCGCGTCACGTCATTTCCTGGGTCTCCATACAGGATGTCAGGTTTTTCAAGTTTTGAGCACTTCTTTCTTTAGTGACAGCATCTAAGAAGCTTATTCTCACTTTCTTTTTCCTACCTTTTGCTGTTGAACTTTCTTGTGTATGACTGGGACAGGGGTTTTGCTTAAAATGTTGATATCCAGTGAGGGAGGGTCATCTCTTTACATTTTTCTATGTGAAGTTTAAAACAACTTGGAGGAAAGTTGTGAACACACACATTTATTTTTGTCCTCTGTTTGCTAAGAATCCTGGGGAGCTCCTGGAGTACACTGCTGAGGGCAGAAAGCCCCTAGGGAGCAGTGATTATGCAGGTTCTTTGTAGTCAACACAATGTACCATACAAACTGAATCTAAAGGTAGAATCCATCTACATTTGCGCTGAAGGGAAATTGCCCAGGAAATAGCTTCCAATTAAACTTTCCATTTTACCAGAAAAAAAATTAAATGATGTTTCAAGTTAGCAATACATATAAATTATCCATACAATAACTAACTTCACAGGTGTGCATTTGTGGTAAAAGCAATGGGTTTCCCCCAGAATTCACAAAAATAAATGACTGTTCCAGAGCCCAAGAAGCAGCTATTATGAACAAACTATAGCTATTGAAAAATCAAAGTGCTAAGAGGAAAAAAGTGATTCTTGTATAATTTTTAAATAAAAATATTTAGAATCATCATGAATCATCATCTCAAAGCAAGAATTTCAGATTAGCAAAATGCGACATTTTTATTTGTTAAAATGCTATAGGTGGAAAAGCAGACACTGGACTAATCTGTCTCATTATGAGTTAACTGAGCCATTTGCATCCCTAAGAAATGGAATTTGAAAGGCCCAAAGTAGGAGGCACTTGCAACAAGTCACCCTTACTCCCAGTGGCTGACAACTGAGCTATTCAAAAGAGAATTGTTTTCATTCAATTGCTCTCTTATTTTAGATTCTCATGGATGGGAACTTGACAACTCAGCCTCTTCTAGCCATGAAGCAGCAACCAGAAATTTCTCCTATATCTCTTGCATGCCACAGACAGGGCTGAAATTGCAGGTGGTATAGTGGTGACCTCAGAGGCTGGTATTGGATTGGTTTTATAAGTATTTAAAATGGCGCTTAGGAGCTGAAGCCAGGAACTGCAGAGAGCTTCAACTTAACTGGAGAATGAAGCAGAATACCTAGGCCTTAACTGCAAAAGGAGTTTGCAGGACAGCTGGCGCCTTTTAGGAAGAGCTCCCTGGTTAGCCAGTGGCCTTTCAGAGGGTTTAGTGGGAAGGTAGCACAGAACAACTGTGAGGACAGAAGAGAGTTCATGCCTGATGGACGCACAGCCAAGCTATCCAGGAAGTCTGGCTCCTTCTAGGAGACGTTTTCAGTTCCATCTTCTTTTGGAGCTTCAACATCAAAGAAATAATGGAAGTCCTTTCTGAAAGTGAGGAGTGTGAACTGAAGGGGAGGGGTTTACTCAGCAGGCTGCCTCCCAACCACTGGCACATCGAGACTTTGGTGGGGGCATAGTTTGGGAGGAATTGCCATTGTCGTGGGGAGCATCACTAAGGAACATACAAATCGGAGCCTTTCCTGAGGTGGGAACATGGGGCAGGGACAGAGAGCAAACAGGAAGTATTGGGTTGTGCCAGATCAGCCTAAATGGAGCTGGAAGCTGACCATGATCCTGAAGAAGTTTCTGGTGGACAACACAGACTCACCCAGCATGAATCAGCGCCCATATAGTCACCTGTGCTCCTTCACATTAGAGTTCAGTTAGTTCAACATGGAGGAAGTCAAATGGAAGGTCATGGGAAAGAGTCCCTTTTACTATATAATATCCACTCACAAACACACACACATATGTACACTTGTGTGTGCTTGAAGCTGAAGAGTCAAACGTAGACTATTTAGTGGGACTCAAGAGTGACAGTTGTTTTCAGATGTGGCATGGACACCTTTCATTGAAATATTTTATGCTCCTATTTACTGCAGCGTATAAACCGTATAAACCATGGGTTAGATCACCTTGTTTTCCAGATAGTCAGCCACAGCTATTAAGCACTACACCTCAAGATACCTAAACCCAAACGGGAACAACATAAACTATTAAGCCTTGAACTCCAGTTTCCAGTCACCATGCTTTCTCCTGTCTTCATTCTCTGGGTTTTCATGGTTGAGATAATCAGATCCTGGGGCTCGATGAATAACCTAGCCCCAGGTTGTTAAGGGCTGCCAAGTCCCCTTTTCCCCCATAGAGTGGCACGCTCAGACTCCTCCTGAGGGAGGAACCAGCAGGTGTTTGGAGAGGGCTGCAGGCTGTGGACATTGGTCGCAGGCAGGGAGCTTGAGATGTGAGCTGAGGACTGCGTGGCTTGGAGCAGTTGAAGATGTGCAGCCACTGTCTCCAGGTCCCCGTGGTGTTCCTCTTTCAAGTCCAGAGTACAGGGACCAAGAAGCAGCTGCCAGACCAAAAAGCCTGCTTTTAAACATAGGTGTGCTGCATTTGAGAGAGCAAGAAGAGGAAGAAAAAGATCCCGCAAACCCCAGAATACTCTGTGTACCAAGAGATGAAACATCACCTTCCTAGCAGTTGCACACACTGGCCAGGGTAAATTCCCAGCCTACAATAATCCTCCATATCTACACAGAAAGTTTCGATTTATGCACATGAATGCAGTGAAAACATGGATTGGTGTTTCTGTCCCATCGCCATATCTGGAGATATGTACTTGCTGATTTTTAAGTTTTAAGAAGTCCACCTTTGTGTAAATTGATCAGCTTTTTAGAAAGGGATCTTTCTAATATTGGCAAATTGAGACCATAGTAAAAGTTTTGTCAGCAAAGATCCATTCAGTCCACTGAGGGTGGCTTCATCTGAATCCTTCATGCCACTGGCACCATTGGGCTTTCTACTCTAATCATCTTAAAAACTATCTTAATTCTCCATTCTGGTCTCTGTAAATGACACCTCAGATGGTTTATAAACTTAGTAACCTTCCTCTCAATTAAAATTACATATGTGTTCTGTGACGTACATCACCTGTATGTAAAGGGACAGGTTGGATGGTGGAAAAGCTATGCTGAAATGTGGATATCAGATATTTTTGTATGTAATATAGACATTACATTGAAACTCTGAGAGGTGTATCAGAATAAACACATTTTAAAATAAAAGCATGCAAAACTGTAGCATTTAAATGTACAGACCTCCAACTCCAAAATATCTCAACTGATGATGGGAAAAACATTAGGACCTGACATAGTGAAATGCATTGAGTTAGGAATTCTGGCCTGGAAAGGACGTGGCTCATGTTGGCAATGTTGATGAAACTTGCTGGAATATTTTGATTTTACTCTTCATTACTTTTGGATCTTTCCTTTTTTCCTGGAAATATTTCAGAAATAAAGTGACTTCACTTTTCCAGCATAATGGTATATTCTAACCACAGGGTAATTCATCGTTTTTAACATGAAAATAAACATTTAAGCATTCTTCAGTTGTTTCATTATTTTACCTACATGTTCCTTTTCTAATTTCAACTTCTATATGATTGGCTATATTTATAGATACATATATTTTTCTTTTCAGCCAGAGATTGTAACATCCTTGATGACGTAATAAATGAACACCAAAACGAAATATTCCCTACAAGTCAAAGATGACTTTGAGATTTAAAAATTTTCCCATTTGTTTTCCTAACAGGCTGGGGAAACTTTCCAGATATCTTACAAAGAAGACTCATTTCTCATATCTCTGTTGAGGGTCAGACCACCTTGAAATCAGGTCTAAAGTGCAAGGTGCAGTGGGTGTTTGGTAGTGTAATAACTGACCACCCTCTGGCTTTCCCTGGTCAGTGACTTGGTTTTGTGGATGCATTTGGGCAGTAGCTTTGCATGGGCTTGAGCCTGGGTGCTGAGGATCCAGATGGAAGCTCTAGAGATGCAAATGAGACACAGGACAGCAGGGGCCTCTGCTTAGAAGATGAGGTAGCTGGTTCATTTGAGGGACTGGTGGGTGTGTTGGCCAAGTACCTAAGGCTGCAAGTGCATTTCTTGAAACTGCCAGTGTTATCTTTGGCACTTTGGCAAATACTACCCATTGTTCTCAGGGTGCATATGAGTGTCTCAGGCAGTAACTTGGCATGTCGTAAATGTTTCATGCCACACCTGGTCTCTCATCAGACCCCTGTAAATGCTGGCTTGTGAAATGTAGGCTGTGAGGTAGTTGGCTTGTGAAATCTAGGCTGTGAGGTAGCAGGCCTTCTTGCTTATTTATAAAATGTTTGGCTCATTTGGCAGCAAATGAGCCAAAAAACTTTGCTAGGTGTACAAACCCACCCCCATCAGGATTACTTTTCAGCACTTGGGTAATTATTACCCACTAACAGCTTTCAAAGCTTCTTTCTCCTTGAAACATGGGAAGACTGAGCCACAGAACCCAGGTGTCTTGTCCTAGAGCTCAGTGTGTCTGTTCACAGTTTATA